CATATACTATAAGTCCTTTATGAAAACAAAGTCAAAGATTAGATAATGAAGCGGTAAAATTACAAGATTAAAGGATTAATACTTTGAAAAACTCAAATCAAAATCACATTAAATCTATTATGAAAGTAGTTTTTGATAATATTTCATAATATTATATTGCAATATTTTGATGAGTCAGTTATGACAAAATCTTAACATCACAAGATTGAAGTACAAATATATTAAAAATAAAGTCAAAATAACAATAAAGTAATTATGAGATGAAAGTCAATTATGACGATAAACTCCTAACATTAAATGATTTAGTAATAATTAGAAAAAAATCTAAATTACAGTTAAAACATTAAGTAGTAGTAATATTTTGTAAAGTCAATTATGACAATACAGTCACAACATTACAAGATTAAAGTGGTAATATTTTGAAAAAGGCAAAATTGCAATAAAGCCACTATGAGATGAAAGCAGTAATTTTTTATTATTTTTTTTAAATCACTTGCGACAATGAATTTAATTTAAAATGAAGTGAAAAGTCGTAATATTACAAAATTAAAGTAGCAACATTATGAGAATAAGGTCAAAAATACAAGAATAAAAGTACTTGAATTTCAAGATTGAAGTCGTGGAAAAACAGGACCCAGAATTCAAGGGTTTTTGGGACAAAATGTATCTGCAAAAACAAACCCTGTATAAACCAATCTGATTTAACAGAAACACTGATCAAAGAACTTGAAAGATCTGAAAGACTGTTTTCATATGCATGGATTGATTTGTAAAGGTTTAGATGTTCAAAATGTGTATAAACTAGGGCTATCAAACAAATCAATTACATCAGATGGCAATTATTAACTGAATTAACCACCGTTAAATCACATAATTAAGCCCCCAAATGAAGATAACATAGGCATACAATGCAACATTATTGTGGCAGAAGCACTCAATGAGATGACAAAAAGTGTCTTTAGAAATCAATATATTGTGTGTTTTATTTCCATGCAGACTGGCCGTTTATTTATCACTTATACATGCTTATATATGCTACTATGGACAAGCACGGTTTGTGCCTAAATTCAATGAGCCGTCAGCCATTTTCTGTTTGTCCAACACAATTTCACACCTGATGTATGCCTATGTCTCTAATAAGCCTTTCTCGCACACATCATTAATCAATATAAACCACTTTATCAGAGACTAGTCGATAAATCCGCTCTCTTCTGTGTGTTAGACGACATGCAACTGGATTGTGTGTTGTTGTCTGAGCTGATGATAAAGTTTGTGGATGCATATGAAAGAGATTTTGTGCGTGTGTGATTGACAGAGGCTTGGCGACACTCCACTGTGTGTGGTTGAACGAATGAGAACCATTTCACACCGGCTCAATATAATCCATTCTCATCAGACTGATTAATGGAGAGCTATAGGAGCGTGTGCTTCCTGTCTGCCACTCCCTCCCCTGACACCGCAGCTGCACAGAGATCCATTAGAGTATGTCACACCTGTGTTCTTGTGTGCACATTAAATACCCAGACACATGGATTCTGTGAGTGCAAAACTCGGCAGAAATAGCCACAGATTTCCTCAAGATTGGAACAGCCATCATTCACAAGCCGTTATGCATCCTACATTCCTTTCATTTATGTTTGTGAAATGATTTTGCTTTCAGCTGCCTATACGATTGCAGTAATCTCAGCTCTCAGCTACACACATTTTACCATGTTTAAATTAATTCAAAAATCAGTGCAGAAAATGCAAAAAAATTGCAGATTCTGTCTCACAAGTTTACAACATTGTTTACGATGTTAACTAAATCTGAGATATAGCATTACGAGAATAAAGTCATAATGTTTTGAGAATAATCTCATATACTATAAGTCCTTTATGAAAACAAAGTCAAAGATTAGATAATGAAGCGGTAAAATTACAAGATTAAAGGATTAATACTTTGAAAAACTCAAATCAAAATCACATTAAATCTATTATGAAAGTAGTTTTTGATAATATTTCATAATATTATATTGCAATATTTTGATGAGTCAGTTATGACAAAATCTTAACATCACAAGATTGAAGTACAAATATATTAAAAATAAAGTCAAAATAACAATAAAGTAATTATGAGATGAAAGTCAATTATGACGATAAACTCCTAACATTAAATGATTTAGTAATAATTAGAAAAAAATCTAAATTACAGTTAAAACATTAAGTAGTAGTAATATTTTGTAAAGTCAATTATGACAATACAGTCACAACATTACAAGATTAAAGTGGTAATATTTTGAAAAAGGCAAAATTGCAATAAAGCCACTATGAGATGAAAGCAGTCATTTTTTATTATTTTTTTAAATCACTTCCGACAATGAATTGAATTGAAAATGAAGTGAAAAGTCGTAATATTACAAAATTAAAGTAGCAACATTATGAGAATAAGGTCAAAAATACAATAATAAAAGTACTTGAATTTCAAGATTGAAGTCGTGGCCAAGGAGAACAAAATTCCTCTCACATTTCGCTTGGCATAAACACTTTCTACGGCCAAAACTTTTACGGAAAGGTTTTTTTTTTTTTTGTTTGTGCCTAAATTCAATGAGCCGTCAGCCATTTTCTGTTTGTCCAACACAATTTCACACCTGATGTATGCCTATGTCTCTAATAAGCCTTTCTCGCACACATCATTAATCAATATAAACCACTTTATCAGAGACTAGTCGATAAATCCGCTCTCTTCTGTGTGTTAGACGACATGCAACTGGATTGTGTGTTGTTGTCTGAGCTGATGATAAAGTTTGTGGATGCATATGAAAGAGATTTTGTGCGTGTGTGATTGACAGAGGCTTGGCGACACTCCACTGTGTGTGGTTGAACGAATGAGAACCATTTCACACCGGCTCAATATAATCCATTCTCATCAGACTGATTAATGGAGAGCTATAGGAGCGTGTGCTTCCTGTCTGCCACTCCCTCCCCTGACACCGCAGCTGCACAGAGATCCATTAGAGTATGTCACACCTGTGTTCTTGTGTGCACATTAAATACCCAGACACATGGATTCTGTGAGTGCAAAACTCGGCAGAAATAGCCACAGATTTCCTCAAGATTGGAACAGCCATCATTCACAAGCCGTTATGCATCCTACATTCCTTTCATTTATGTTTGTGAAATGATTTTGCTTTCAGCTGCCTATACGATTGCAGTAATCTCAGCTCTCAGCTACACACATTTTACCATGTTTAAATTAATTCAAAAATCAGTGCAGAAAATGCAAAAAAATTGCAGATTCTGTCTCACAAGTTTACAACATTGTTTACGATGTTAACTAAATCTGAGATATAGCATTACGAGAATAAAGTCATAATGTTTTGAGAATAATCTCATATACTATAAGTCCTTTATGAAAACAAAGTCAAAGATTAGATAATGAAGCGGTAAAATTACAAGATTAAAGGATTAATACTTTGAAAAACTCAAATCAAAATCACATTAAATCTATTATGAAAGTAGTTTTTGATAATATTTCATAATATTATATTGCAATATTTTGATGAGTCAGTTATGACAAAATCTTAACATCACAAGATTGAAGTACAAATATATTAAAAATAAAGTCAAAATAACAATAAAGTAATTATGAGATGAAAGTCAATTATGACGATAAACTCCTAACATTAAATGATTTAGTAATAATTAGAAAAAAATCTAAATTACAGTTAAAACATTAAGTAGTAGTAATATTTTGTAAAGTCAATTATGACAATACAGTCACAACATTACAAGATTAAAGTGGTAATATTTTGAAAAAGGCAAAATTGCAATAAAGCCACTATGAGATGAAAGCAGTAATTTTTTATTATTTTTTTTAAATCACTTGCGACAATGAATTTAATTTAAAATGAAGTGAAAAGTCGTAATATTACAAAATTAAAGTAGCAACATTGAATGAATAAGGTCAAAAATACAATAATAAAAGTACTTGAATTTCAAGATTGAAGTCGTGGCCAAGGAGAACAAAATTCCTCTCACATTTCGCTTGGCATAAACACTTTCTACGGCCAAAACTTTTACGGAAAGGTTTTTTTTTTTTTAAATATGGCACTAAAACATTGCCATATTTAGGATAATTGAATCAGGACAATTTACAAGTCTCAAACCTGCACCATCCACATGACCATCACAACCTGTATGCTAACCACTACACTACAGCAACAACTGTACAGTTTTTTTTATGTCCCACTGTGGAAGAACTTGATGACCTTGTGAAAACACACACACACACGAGTGCTGATTCTCCTGTATTGCATATATCCACTCATGTGCATCGCCGGTGCACTTCTGTGCATGTGGGACGGTTTTGTCTATGTGATCAGTGAGAGAGAGATCTGTCTAAAAAACAATACAGGAGCAGAAGGCATGTCTTTCTTCACATTTCTCCACCTTCACTCCCTGCTGGGAGAGGCAGCCTTTACAAACACACACGCGACATATGTACACGTCTCGCAATCATGGCGAAATTGGATTGAGCGATTGCGCTGCCCGTCAAACAAGCTAACAAGGGCATTGCGCTTCTCAAAAAGAGGAATGAGGCTTCATGCCCTCCAGTGGGATGACGGATGAGTTTGTGCATCTGTGTATGTGAGAGATGGACTCGACTAAAAATGTGTTTTGATTCATTCTAATGGATGATTTCGCAGACCATGGAAGTAGAAAAAGGCTTTCGCTGATGCAACTATCAGGCCGCCATTAGGGAGACGCACTATGGAGCAGAAACTGAATGTGCAACCATATCCTATTTCAGTTAAAGGGATAATTGTGCCAAAAACAAAACGGTCACGAGACAGTCATGAACCAATGATGTTTGACAGGCCAGCTTTGAAGATGCAAAGGATCATTTTCACCAAATAATGACTGATAACTCTGTGAATTTGTTCTGCATTTGCACAAGCAGTGAATGCAGAAAGCATATGAGGAGTTAGTATTTGTAAAAAGCATTGGAATAGCAGTTATACCTTCTCCAGATGAGCAATCCAACTCCAAGAGTAAGTAACATGATGAGAGCAGCCACCGAAACCACAACGATGATCACCACAGGACTCTGTTCACTAGAGGCCAGGGCCACTGCACAACAAACACACACAAAGACAAACAAAAGATTTGGTTAGTATTCATGGTGGCACAAGCCATTACCAGTGCTCTAAAAGCACTGGAGCTTGACAAGAAGATTGATCTTTGAAGTCTTTCCTTATTTATTATGATAGCATCCTAATGGGAATACATTTTTGTGAGTTAAAAAGTTACGACTTTCCTCCAAATGGCCCCAATCCATCCATCTGGACACAGAGAAACTACTTTCAGTTACAAAAAAACCCCACTTTGGCTTTCAAAAGGAAAGATGATCCCTAGCAAATCAGTCAATTATCAATAAATAATGGAGAAAAACCCTTTTTATGAGTCATTTATTTAGAATTCAAACCCACATGGGACATGGGGGTGGGTTCATTGAAACTCAACAAGTGAAATATAGGCCTCTAGCAAAACACTGTCACCAGCGGAGGACATCAGGACAGCTTTCCATATTTACACATACAAGGACATCAGGACAACACTCCATCTTTACACATACAAGATTATTGTAAGCCTATAAATCGTGAAGAAAGTTGCTTTAGACTAGAGTATTATTGAATTATTCTGTTCTGCATTTTGAATCTTATTTTTATTTGTTGTTGTTGTTGTTGTTGTGAATGGGAGCACTTTAAATGTATATGCAATATAATTTATATTTACAGTACTTTTTAGGGTCTGTATGGTTTTTTTAGTCACTTATGCTCACAAAAGAAGGCATTAATTTGATAAAAAATATAGTACAACATTAATATTTTAAAAATATTATTACACTTTAAAATAGTTTTTTTCTGTTTAAATCTATCTTATAATGTAATATATTCCTGTGATGTAAAGTTGAATTTTCAGCACTATTACTCCAGTCTTCAGTGTCACATGATACTTCAGAAATCATTCTAATATGCTGATTTTCTGCTTAAGAACAATTTCTTATTATTATCCATGTTAAAAATGTGCTGCTTAAAATTTTCATGGTACCTGTGATACTAAATTTTTCATTTTTTCAGGATTCTTTGATGAACCAAAAGAACAGCATTTATTTGAAACAACAATATTGTGTAACCATGTAAATGTCTTTACTGTCACTTTTAATATATTTATTGTATCCTTGCTGAATAAAAAATATTAATTTCTTTAAAAATATATTTTGAACAGTATTGTATATAACATACACATAAATTCATATTTATCTTTATTTAAATTTATGCCATAAATATCAATCACAAAGGCCCATTTTTCAGTCTTTCTTGAATGTTAACATACTACGAAAAATATAAGTACTAAAAATATTTAAATTCACAATAAAATATTGTAATATTAACAGTCCTAATTATAACACTTTGAAGTCACAATGAAGGGTAATATAATATAATATAATATAATATACTACAGGTGCATCTCAATAAATTAGAATGTCGTGGAAAAGTTCATTTATTTCAGTAATTCAACTC